GGTTGTGGAATTTTATTACAACCAGAAACTTTTTTAGGAAATTATAAAAATTCTGCTTCAAGCTTGCATACATTTATAATTCTTCCTCTTTAACGAGGAACATTGAATTTCTATTAGCATCAGAACTGATTTCCCAAATTTCACTCAAAGGTAACAAATTTGTGGGTAAGAGCGTCCCATAAACTTTATGAGTTCTATGAATATCGTGATTTCAACATGTTGAAGGTCTTGGGTAAACCATTTCTTTAGATCATATTCGTATATTTCTTAACATATCAATTTTTCTATCTCATCTAAATGTTTCGGAGGGGAATCCCACTGATTGACTCAACAAATTCCTAATAATCTTGATAATCGATCTAAGCTTAGAGGCTTAGAAGTGTTGCTAAACGTACTCGATTATGATGATATTAAAGTAAAGGTGAGGTCACTGTTTTGTTACAAAGTAATTTCAAATTGATAATTGAGTTTTTAAAATTGAATTCGGAAATTTAGACGGATTTTTCAAGTTATAATCAATTTAATAGTTTCGTCACTATGATAACCTTTCAGTTTTGTGCTTTATGAAATTTTTTTTATTTTAAACCATTTTGTCATTATCATAATAAAGTACACTTTCTAATTAATCCTTTGAATTCATTTTTACTTTTTATTGATATACATTGCAATAGAATATCAAAGGGATCATTTTTCCGAATCACAAAATCTAGAAATAAAAAAGATTCCGAATTTTTTTTCCGGATCACATTTTACTGATTGCACGCATCACACACAACTTTAAAAATCAAAAAAAAATTTCTCAATTAAATTTTTTCCATTAAACTTGGATTTCAACCAACGAATTCTGAATTGATTAAATTTCATTACATTTATGGTAGAAACAGTTCATAAACAGTACCAAATGAGTTTCAGAGAACGTTAGAAACAAATGAAATATTAAATTATTGATTAAAAAATTTCATTTCATAAATTATTGTTATTGGAAAGAAGATATTTTAGATTTCTTTTCGTTAAAAGTGAAATACATTTTATATGAATCGAAAAATCCAAAAATAAAAAAGAAAGCGAAAAGTAAATAAAATTTTCATTTCATCATATATGTTTACTTTGCTTAGCAAAATACAACTATTTTGATAATTTCGCATAATTTTATGAATGTGTTGAATAATAGATTTAGAAAAAAAAGGAAAAAAGATGCAGGAAACTAGGAAAAGAAAAAATATTTTAAAAAAAATGAAAAGAGAATATTCCCTGAAATATTTTATCTTTATCATTATTAAAATGTAACAATGCTCTGAATGTTTTTGTAATTATCGTTTTCACAAATCGTTTCGTTTTTTTTCTTCCTTTTTTCCAAAATAAATTTTAATACTGCAGTGTTGTAAGATTTCATTCATACAGTACTCATATTTATCTTTAAAATTAAAATGCATTTCATAACTTGTTTGTTTACTTCCTTTTTAAAAGAAATTTTATTTGTTTTAGTTACACGCTAACTTTTTTTTGCAAAAATTTTCAAAATTTTAAAAAGAAAAGAGAAAATGATTCTTTGTTTTACATTTAGAATTAAATGACAAAAATCGAGAAAGAATAAATTATAACTGGTCGTAAAAAAAAAAGAAGAATCGCTTTTATAAAACAATGTTAAGCCAACTAATTTGGTTATGAAGAAAGAAGTGCTTTTAACGATTGATCGATTATGCTTAATTAAAAGTTGTGTGGGAATTTCATTTTTTAAATATTATCATGACTGAAGCATGAAATTGAGAGTTGAGCTATAAATTTGCTTTGAATGGAATCGGATGCATTGTCACATTTGAATTACTGCAGGCATAATAATAAAAAATTATAAGAGATCAAATCAAATCATCTCACTGATATATTTTGAAGGAAACATCGGAAAAAGGTAATACAGAATTAATTAATTAAATAAATTTCACTTCGTAGTTATATGTATGTTACATATATTGAAGTTATATAAATAGTTATATTGAAGGAAGCAAGATTTAGTTACTTAAAAGATTTATCAAGGAATTGTAGACTCATATTCCAACCCTTGAAATTAAATTATTGCTATTTAACGGCTTTTTAATCAATATTTACGCTTATTTCTTTCTCTCCCCCACCTCCCCCCCCCCCATCCACTGTTTTTTTTCACAAATTTGTTTCTTTTTTTAAACTTAGTTTTAAATCAGAAATCTTGGACTATATATCTCCACTATTAAGACATTTAAGACATAATTTTGGAAAATAAAAGAAAAGATGAATGTTATCCTATTATCTGCGAAATTTAAAAATACATTATTTAAGAATTGATTTGATATTTACAAGGATTCTGAAGCGAACATTTTGTTAACATACATTAGTGTAAATGGCTCTTATAATAAGCATATATACAATTCTACGTAGTGATAGTGCCATTACTTATTCATACATAAAAGAATTTTAAATGATTTTCAAATCTTAATCACCATCAAACATGCTATATGCAAATTACTATATCACTTATGATACCTTATATTTTCTCTAATCACGGAACTTCACGTTTATTCGTGACACTACCTATATTAGTACGAAGAATGATCGTATAGTTAGTTAACGATGATTATCTTTTTCAGTACTCGAAACCTATAGTAATGTTATATCAAAAAAAACAAAAAGACTGAAAGTACCAATTGAGAAACAGGTCAATTAGCCATAAGGACCTTTTTATCCGTTAATTTATTAACCAATTATTGATCTGTAAATGTGATAATAAAATGCGAAAGAATTCCGTAGATTATTTAAGATTGACCAAGTGAAGGATTTATTAGTTTACTGAATTTGTTGGGAATTTCAATAATTTTGATCTTTTT